TATTAAAAAAAATATATCCCCTGGAGTGAAGGCCACTTTAGCTTAGACCCACCCTAGCAAAGATGCTTTAAATACAAGATTCAAAGGGATCAAACTGATCCACAAATAATTGCTAAAACAAAGCCTGACACTGCTAAGTAAACAAAATCCAGTTCGTTAATGATGTAACAGTCATAATGTCCTGCACCTATCTAATTAAAGAATTAGTAGACATGTTAAGAAGCAGAAAAATGTGACCCATAACTAAAAGAAAGAGTAGTCTATAGGAAAAGACCCAGACATGGCAGTGATGAAAGCCAGCAGACAAGGATGTTAAGACAGCTAATTTTGTACAAGTATTAAAAACATGAAAAAAATTTAAAATATTTTTAAATAACCAAAGTGGGATAGAAATAAAAAATAACTATATATGCAGTGAAATATTGGATAAATTAACAGATTAGACACTGCAAAAGAAAAGTTCAGTGAAATTGAAGACCTAGCAATAAAATCTATCCAGAATACAGCATTTTCTTTTTGTCACATAGAAAAATGAACAAATGGCCAATTTTTTTTCAGATTTGAGGAAAGCCCTAAACTGACAGAGTGAAGAAGTTTGATAAACTCCAAACAGGATAATGATGCACTCCATAATCTAACTGCCGAAAAACAGCAAAAGACATTCTTTAAATAGGGTAAAAAACACCTTATTACCACAGAAACAGATAACAAATTCCACCGACTTCTTAAAAACCATGTAGCTCAAAACAAAACCTTAAGTGTTGAGGACCACCTCACAGCCATTACGATGGCTACTATCAAAACAAAACTAACAAAATACAAGTGTTGGTAAGGATGTAGAGAAATTGCAGCCCTTGTGTACAACTGACTATAAAATGGTACAGCTACTATGGAAAACATGGCAGTCCCTCAAAAATTTTCAACTAGAATTACTCTATGATCCAGCCCTCCTACTTCTGGGTATATCCCAAAACTAAATGAAAGCAGAGACCGAAAGAAATATTTGTACACCAGTGTTCACAACAGCATTATTCGTAAGAGTCAAAAGGTTGAAGCAACACAAGTGCCTATTGATGAACGAATGGATAAACAAAATGTTACATACACATACAATGCAATATCATTCAGCCTTTAAAAAAGTCTCACACATGCTACAACATGGATGAAATTTGAGGATATTATGCTAAGTGAAAGATAAGCACCTATACCCTATGGTCCCACTTACATGAGGGACCTACAACAGTCAAACTTAGACAGAATGGTGGCTGCCAGGGGTTGGGGTTGGGAGGATTTAGTTGTTTAATGGGTACAGAGGTTTTTTTGCAAGACGAAAAAAGTTCTGGGAGATTGGTTGCAAAACAACATGAACCATAATGAATTGTACACTTTACAATGGCTGAGATGGTCAACTTAATGTTAGGTATATTTTGCCAACAGGTTTTGGGTTTTTTTAGCCTTTAAAAAAATAATGCTTAGGAGAAAACCTGCTATGTGTCTTCTCCCTGCCTTCCCCAGAGCTGTCTGTTCTAGTTGAGCCCCACCACATCTGAGAAGCTTTTCCTCATCTTTCCATTTCCCATGTCTCCGAATTCCTGTACCACCCTACTTAGTACTGAATTATCTTCTTGTCTTGACAAGCTGTAGGACCCCTGAGGAAAAGAACTATGTCTTCAGCTTGTCTTGGGGGCCCTGATAATACCTGTCATAGAGGAAGTGTATCAGTCAGTGTCTAATCAGTGAAACAGAAACCACATTAAGTATTTCAAACAGGGTGTGTGGGTGGCTCAGTCAGTTGAGCATCCAACTCTTGATTTCAGCTCAGGTCATGATCTCATGGTTTGGGAATTCAAGCCCTGTGTGGGGCTCTTCGGTGATAGCATGGAGCTTTCTTCGGCTCTTATGTCTTGCTCCCTCTCTCTGCCCGTCCCCCACTTGTTCTCTGTATCTCTCTCAAATAAAAATAAACTTTAGAAAAAATTTAGGAGCACCTGAATGGCTTAGTCGGTTAAGCATCCCACTATGGCTCAGGTCATGATCTTACCGTTTGTGAATCTGAGCCCCATGTAGGGCTCTCTACTGTCACCACGGAGCCTCTGTCTTCCTCTCTCTCTGACCGTCCCCCATTCATGCACATTCCCTCTCTCAAAAACAAGTTATTTTTTAAATTTTTTTTAGAAAGTGTTTTTTTTTAATTAAAAACAAAAATTTTTTTTTAGCATTTATTTATTTTTGAGACAGAGAGAGACAGAGCATGAACGGGGGGAGGGGGGCAGAGAGAGAGGGAGACACAGAATCGGAAGCAGGCTCCAGGCTCTGAGCCATCAGCCCAGAACCCGACGTGGGGCTCGAACTCACAGACCGCGAGATCGTGACCTGAGCTGAAGTCGGATGCTCAACCAACTGAGCCACCCAGGCGCCCCTTAGAAAGTGTTTCAAACACAAGAAATGTAATATAGGGAGTTTGTTACAAAGGTCTTCAAAGGGCTGGAGGAGCAAAGGAGGAATAAGTGTATCTAAAGAATACTAAGGAAACAGCTACTATTCCTATGGCTGGAAGAAGCAAAAAGGAAAACCCTAAGACCCACAGTCACTATCGCTGAGGCTGCTACTGTGGAACCAAGCAGCCAAGAGCCTACTCTCATCAGCCACAGCTGCCACTGTGCTGATGCACTCCAGCTTCTGCAGCTGGAGTACCGCAGCCAGTACCATTGCTTGTGACACCACTGGAAGATGGGTTCTTTCCCCCAGTATCCCAGTAGTGCCTCTCACAGGTCAGACTTAGAGAAATCCAGCTGCAGAGTCTAGGGAAATGTAGCTTGTGGATCTCCTGCCACAACAGTGAAGAGGAAAAAATATAGAAGAGTTAATATGGAGCTGGAGGAGGGGTACCCAGGTGGCTCAGTTGGTTAAGCTTCCAACTTTGGCTCAGGTCATGATCTCGTGGTTCGTGAGCCCGAACCCTGCATCAGGCTCTGTGCTGACAGCTCAGAGCCTGGAGCCTGCTTCAGATTCTGTATCTCCCTCTCTCTCTGCCCCTCCCCTGCTTGTGTTCTCTCTCTCTCTCTCAAAGCATAAATATATAGAGAGCTGAAGGAACAGACAATATCCAGCACCCTCCTTTAACTACTCTGCCTGTACACCCATCCTCTTGCCTCTTCTGAGATTTATACACAACAAACTTTTCTTGTACAAAGTACACTTAATCTCTCCCCCCAAAGAAAGACAAAACATCCCACCAGTCACTATGAACATCTGGATGATGAGAATTTTAGTTGAGACAATCCCCCTGGAGGATATTTTATCATCTTGAGTCTCAACTATAAATCAGTCACCACCAAAACTTTTATGTTTAACAGAAGAGAGAGGGAAGGTGATTAACAAGTGAAAATATGTAGGAAAGCAACAGCTGGCATTGTCCTCACTGTTATAAATCATATGGCCATCTCTCATCTTGTTTTCACAGCCCAGATCATTTTCTTGTTGCCCTCAGTCAACATCTTAGCTGGCTGGGGTTTTTTACCTAGTGAGGAGACCCTACCCTTCATTCCTGAAGTATCTAAGTCCTTACTGATTCTTCCTTCGGTGAGTTACTGTAGCCTTCTATTAACTCTGAACAGCTGAACGTAGAAGCACTACGGAAGCACTCCAGAGAGTGCCCTCCATTGCTTAGCAACAGCCATATTTCCCTTGACAATTGAGACCAAGCACCCCAGTCAATACAGTAACCCCTTACTTTTCCCCTTGGTTCAGTGGCACAAGCACCCTAAATGCCCAAGTGCAAGTCACACTTTCCAGTTCATTGAGAGCACTGTTGGTTTCCTAATGGACACATTCCTCCCTTGGGACTCAACCAGCAGATCCCAAAGTTTCAAGCACAGAAGCCAAAATTCTGTGAGTGGGGTTATTAGATGTATTATTGAGAAGAGTCATTCTTCCTATTCCCCAAGCCCTGCTTGATTCCTGGATCCTTTGATTCAGTGGACAACTCACTAGCAAAGAGCATTCCTAATGCCCAAATTGTAGTTTATAAATACCATTCACACTTTTAAAACAACAACAACAAAACCCACCTCTTTGGAGAATGGCTAATTAAAGGTAAGGGATGAGAAATATAGAGAACTCGGAAAGGCTTGTTTCAGAAAATAAGGCCATTATCAGAAATTCCTGGAGTCAAGTCAAAAAGACACAGAGCTTTGGGGATTTTAAAGCCTAATTTTAAAGGGCTCTCACTAGCTTTAGCAGGCTGCATAATGGCCACCAATGATATCAGGTCCTAATCTTTGAAAGATGTGTTTCCTTATACTGCAAAAATTTTGCAAATGTGACTAAGGATTTTGAAATGGAGAGAACACGGGATAGTCAGGGTGTGTCCTAAATGCAGTCATACATCTCTTTTATGAGAGGGATGCATAAGAAGATTTGAGACACAGAAGAGAAAGCCATATGACCACAGAGGTTGAGGTAGGAGCAATGTGGCTACAAGCCAAGGATGGCTGGCAGGTACCAGAAGGTAGAAGAGGCAAGGACCACCTTCACCCCTACAGCCTTCACAGGGATCACAGCCTTGCCAACACCTGGATTTTAACCCAGTGAAATTGATTTTGGGTTTCTGGCCTCCAGGACTGTGAAACAGTAAAATTTCTGTTATTTACAGCCACCAAATTTGTGACAATTTGGTACAGTAGCCACAGGAAAATAATACACTAGCCAAAAATGGAGCATTTCAAGCATCAAAATAATTGAAGTGCATCACAGCATATAAAGTATGTTTTCAAATTTTTTTTTTCCAACGTTTATTTTTGGGACAGAGAGAGACAGAGCATGAACGGGGGAGGGGCAGAGAGAGAGGGAGACACAGAATCGGAAACAGGCTCCAGGCTCTGAGCCATCAGCCCAGAGCCTGACGCGGGGCTCGAACTCACGGACCGCGAGATCGTGACCTGGCTGAAGTCGGACGCTCAACCGACTGCACCACCCAGGCGCCCCTAAAGTATGTTTTTAAACCACAGGTTCAAAATGATACCAACACCTTCCCTATGTATGTAAATTTGCTGCTAGCTAAACTGTTCAGTGTTCTAAAAGCTGATAATGGGAAATAACTGTACCTCACTGGAATAATAGAGTTATGAAAAATTTGTGCTTTATAAAAATGTGAAGGATTTGTAGAATTAAGAGGTTTCCATTTTACAATTCATTATGAAATAGTATCAACGATCATCAATGACTGCTAAAACGATTAGGTCGAAAGGTTATGGCGAATTTATAATCATGCTGACAACGTCCAAACCCCACAATTCAGTCCCATCATTTTAAACACACACACACACAAAATGATGTTATGTACCTCCTGCTGGGATACAACAGGAAATACAAAATACCAACCATGACATTTTCTTGGCAAAATTTCAAAACTGGATCAGGCTCCCCCAGATCCAAATACCAGTTTATAAGAAATATTGGGGAGAGAAATATGTTAAATGAAAGAACTGATAGGATCCTATAAGCAGAATCCACAATGTGAGGGAAAATGTAGAGGGAAAAGACCTACCTTGTTCAACAAATTGCCAAAAAGACCAAAAAGGAGGAAGGGGAAATTTATAATTAAAGATTTAAGAGAGTTCAAATGTTACCGTTTCTGTAAACCTTTAATAGACTCCTTGAAATAGAACAAATCCCTCACTTCAAAGCAATCCCAACACATCAAGAACTTGACACTCCACTATGCCCCTTTTCCCTATTCCAGGATTCCCCCCTCCCCTTCCACCTTACTCAGATTCAGTTCCATGGTCATCATTATGATCACTCTCTCGCACATAACATAAGCTCCTTTGCCCCCTCTCATACTTGCTTGGGTAGATCACACACCCGAGTAAATCCTACTCTGTATGCCTGTCCTCTAGCAGCTGAATGTGGATGAATAGCTGATTTCTTTTTAGATTCACCCTCCTTAATGTCACTGGAACCTTAATGCTGCCTGGCAGTTTTTTCCCCTTGGTCTGGCTTCTTTTCCAGTTTCCAATTTGAAACAATTATACCTTTTCCTCTTTCCAAACACCTCCAAAATCGCCTCCATCCTCATCTGATAAAGTCATCTTGCTTGATATTTCACTGAATTAAATAAAGGTAATAAGAAAACTTCCAACACATCTAAATGACTAATAAACATATGAAAAGCTACGACACATGCAAATTAAAACTGTACAACCTGGTACCACTACCACTCACCAGAACGGTTAAATTGACAGTAGAAATACAGGCATTCCTCAGACATTTTGTGGCTCGGGCTCCAGACCACTGCAATGAAACAGCTATCACAAAAAAACAAGTCAAATTAATTTTTTGGTCGCCCAGTGCATATAAAAGTTAAAATTATGCTACACTGTGGTCTATGGTGTGTGCAATAGCATTATGCCTTAAAAAAAAAATACAGAGCTTAATTTGAAAATACTTTATCGTTAAGAATAAACGCTAACCATCATCTGGGCTTTCAGCAAGTTGTCAGGTTTTGGCTGGTGGAGGGTCTTGCCTCGATGTTGATGGCTGCTGCGTGACCAGGGTGGTGGTTGCTAGGATGTCTGTGGCAGTTTCTTAAAATAAGACAACAATGAAGTTGGCCACATCATTCACTCTTCCTTTCACAATTTCTCTGTAGCCTGTGATGCTGTTGGATAGCATTTTACCCAGAAAACTTCTTCCAAAAGGAGTCAATCCTCTGGCTGCTGCTTTGTCAACTAAATTTATGTATTCAACACTTTGTTGTCATTTCAACAATCTTCACAGCACCTTCACCAGTCGATTCCATCTCGAGAAACCACTCGTCACCATAACAAATACAATAATAATGAAAAAGTTTGAAGCACCTCAAGAATTACCAAAACATGACAAGGACACAGTGAACAAATCCTATTGGAAAAATGGCACCCAAAGACTCCCTCAACATAGGATAGCCACAAACCTTCCAGGTGTGAAAAAGAGAAGCACAATTCAGTGAAACTCAATAAAACAAGGTATGCCCAAAGTCACAAGGAAGCAGATGAAACTCTCACACCTTGCTAGTGGGAGCTGAGTTGTAAAACTCATCATGTTGTAAAACTACATCACATTCTTAAGTCAAACACATGTATGCTCATGGCCGCTCGAGTTTCTCCCCTAGATGTGTACCCAACGTATATGTGCTTTCTATAAAACAGGTTCCAGAAGGTTCACAGGAGCATAACTCAGAGAAATGCTGGAAACAACCCAAATATTCATCAACAAGAGAATGGATAAACTATGGTATAGTTATATAATGGAGTATTACAAAGCAACACAGATAAAACTCATAATAGCGAGTTGAAGGAGTCATAAGCAAAAGAGAATATAGTACTTACAAGAAAGGTAAAAATCAGGCAAAATCACATATGGTGTTAGGACCATAGTTTTCTTTACAGTAGCTTCGGTGGTAACTGGAAAGGGATAGAGGGGCATTCTGGATTGCTGGTAATGTTCTGTTTCCTGACCTGGATCCTAGTAACACATACTCTCCTGTGTGTGTATTATACCTCAGGTGCAATGTTAATGAAAGAAGAGAGAAACCGAACTCCACAAGCTCCCACTGCTTCATGGAACTGTCCACGTGCATCTGAGCCCCTTCACTGGCCTTCACTCCTGTTACTGTGGGTGTTCCATCAAAGATAGGCTTTGCCTCCTGTGCCCTACAGAATTACCCCCTCTCTTCCTAAGAATGCCACTCCGGCAGGTCTCCCATCTCATTCCCACACCTTTTCTCTCGACTAGATTTTTCCCATCAACCTACAGACATAGTATCACTTTTCTACTGTCTAAGACAACCTTCTCAACCTTCGGTTGCTGTAGTTTTTTCCCCTTCTCTTGGGCTAGAGCAAAACTCAAATGATTATATGCGCTGAATGCCGATTTGTTCTAATACCCTCTTTGAACCACTCCAGTCATGTTCTCACCTCCACACTCCACAAACACAGATCTTCTCATCCAGGTCACCTCCGCATTGTTCAGCCCGGTAGCCACTTCTTCACCGCCGTCTTCCGTGATTTTCCGCCGTTTTTAGGCTTAATCATCAACTCCCTCTTTCCGAGATCACTTTCTCCTTCAGGCTTCCAGAATACTGAGCACCCATGTTGCCCTCTACCACACTACTAGCTGCTCCTTTCCAACTTTCTTATATGGTTCCTCTTTACATCTCTGGCCTCTCATTTTGGAGATCCCCAGAGTTCATCCAGGGGCTTAGTGTCCATCCATGTTTTCTCCTCTGGGGCTCATATGCAGCATCATGCACACACTGCGTAAGTGGAGGAACACCAACGAAATGTCTCCAGCCCAGACCTCTCTCCCGAACTCAGGCTCCTGACGCATCTGTCTCCCAGCGTTTCTACCTAGATGTCTAACAGGCATCTCCGATTTTCTATGTGCAACATCAAACTCCGGATCTGCCCCTAAAAACCCACTCTTTCACAGGTTTCCCGTCTTGGTTAACGGAAACTCTATCCTTCTGACTCCTCACCAGGACAAAACCCTCGGAGACATTCTTGACTCCACCATTTCTCTCCTAAACAAACTCAGTCTGTCAGCAGGTCCTCAAACAGAACCGCCAAAGCATTTCTAGAATCGGACCACTCTCACCATTTCTACTTCTGTAACCCTGGCCTAAGCCACTATTGCTAGTGCCAGGATTATTGTCAGAACCTCCTAACTGGCCTTCCTGCTTCCCCTCCCTCCCAACCAGTCTGGTCTTGGTGCACCATTGAAACACTGGCCAGATCAAGTCAGTCCTCTGCTCAAAACCTTCCATGTCCTACCTATTTCACGCAAAGACAATTTCCGTGTGACGGGTTACAAGGGCATTCACAGCATACCCCTTCTCCCTTGTACTGTTACCTCTTCTTTGTCCCCACCTTTCCTCTGCTCCATTGACACTAGCCTCCTTGCTGCTCCTCAAACATGGAAGATGAGCTTCTGCTTCAAGGCCTTGCAACTCTTTCCTCTTGGCCTAGAATGCTCTTCCCCCATTTATCCTCATGGATCATCCCTTCATCTTCTTCAGATCTGGACTCAAATGTCACTTTTTCATTAAGGGCCTCCCTGACCACAGTATTTACCAGTGTTAAGCCCTCTCCCTCTCCACCCCACTCTCCTACAGTCTCTATCACTTCCTTTAATTTCTCTCTAGCACCATCTCCTTCTGATACACATATGTATTACTTATCTGTCTGCTGTCGGTTTCCTGCTAGTATGTAACAACAGGAGCATGAGGATTTCTGTCTTGTTGACTGCTATATCCCCGGTGTCAAGAACAATGCCTAGTAAATAGTAAGAGTTTAGTTACTATTTGCGGAACGAACATAGGAGTTATGTCAGTCCCTGTCACACACTCAAGCCTCAAAGAGATGGGAACCACATCTTAACTATCTTTGTAATAAATGACTGACTAAATGGAAGAAAGAAGAACGGATCTTCAGTTTAATGAAGGTACTTACTGAAGGCAATGCATTCAATTGTCCTTTTCATTTTTAATGCAAATACTTGCTCTCCCCTGAACAAATCAGGTCAGCTATTCCCAAACAATGTTACCAACTGCCTTTTCTTCCTTTCTTAAATTTTCCCTCAATCAAGAGCAAAGATTACAATAGGCAGAGCGTGCAATAAAAATATAGTGATTAAACAATGCTTACCAAATCAAAAAGAGGAAATATTCAAACCTTGAGAGGTAATACAAACATTGTTGCACAACTCACTTATGATTTTTCTTGTCCCAAGAAAGGTTAAAGAAACAGATATGACTCAGAAGGAAGGAAAAAACCAACAGATATGTTGGTTTAACCATATGATTTCTAAAATACACTCAATAAATGAGGGCAAATTTTGACCCTTCTGATGTGAAGACCGCATGTTATTAAATAAAGAGCACTTCCTATTCACCTAAATATATTTCTAGAGAAAATTTCAGGGCTTGGAAAAGTCCAACAACTTATTTCCCCCAAAATGACAAGTTCACACTTTTATCTTTTTAATTTATATTAAACTTTTTCAATTTATTTCACATGAAAACTTACAGAGGAAGTTGACTATGAGGCCAAAGACCTGAATTCTTTTCTCAGAACCCATGCACACATGGGAGATTTTCTGCCCACTTCCCACAGCAGCAGGTCCCCCCTTCAAGCCCCCTCAGAGGAGGAACAAGGACAGTCCTAAAGGGTAGCAGGTGGAGAGGTCCATGGTCACCACTGCTGGGAACAGACGTCACAGGGCTCATCTGCCGAGTACATAATTATTCATCAGTCACCTCTGTGGTGGGGCTGAGAGCAAGGCTGAGGAGGACTCAGTATCACAGTACAGGTAAGGAGGGGTGGCAATGCCCATCACCAGAGGAGTAGGCCCTTACAAGAAATAACAACTTACCAATAGAAAATTCACTGTGTTAGACACAATGATAACTATGTCAGAGTACATGGGTTGCAGGGAAGGTTGACTGTGAGAGAAAACTTGATTAAACGAATCATAACCAAGAAGAAACACAGTAGTGACATCACGCATTAATTGGATCATTCACATTACACCAGTTGGTGTCTAAATCCCTTTTCCAGAGCATATTGTACACAGAAGACCAGTTGCTCTGTGTATAAGACATGCCTATCTTTTTATATAATATCCCTTTCCCATCACAGAAGATTATGACTAATAGCCAGTTGCCTTCCAATTGCCTGTCACCTCTCTCTGGAGCTTCAGAAAGGAATCTTTCATTGGGTAACATTTACTGCAGGTGTGGGAGAATACACAATTGTTTTCCTGTGAGGAAATGTATAAACCACAGAGCCACAAATAGTGACCTTCCATTCACATACCTAAATAAGAGTTTTGACTAAAGAGGCCTAAACTTGGAATACCCAGACTTCCTGATTTAGCTAGACAGTCCTAGTTCATTCTGGTTTCCCAACACAATTTTTTTTTTTTTTTTAAGTAGGCTTCACTTGCAGCGTGGAGCCTAACACAGGGCTTGAACTCGCCACCCTGAGATCAAGACCTGAGCTGAGATCAAGAGTCAGATGCTTAACTGACTGAGCCAAGCAGGTGCCCCTCTCAACCCCTCCCCCACTAAAATGTGTTCCAGTTTGGCCAAGAAATTATATGAGGGCCTTACCTAAAACGCTGTCTTTGCTATGGAACATTAAGCTTTGGCTGTGAAGCTGGCAAAATTAGTGCTGTAATTGTCCCGTAAGTATATGAGTGACCACACTGGTCAGATCGCCCTTTTTCCCTTACAGAGAAGTCATGAATCTGGCAATGTAAACAAAATGAGGAGGGCTTTGAATAATCAAAGAATCCACTCTGTTCCTGTACATTCTTTTGAATCTGCTATTTACACACTCGGCCATGATCAACTTTGGAATAATGGAGATTCTCTTGCCAGCCACCAGGGATTTTAAATGTCACAAATAGTTATGAGAAAAAGTCTCACACTTGTATCTTTTTTTTTCTGGCTTATTAGACGAAAGTAGAGGTAGGGCTTTGAATAAAGAGCTATTTATTTTTAAGTTAATAGTACAAAAGGCCCTCTTTTCATTAAAGTCCCACCCCGCCCCCACTACCAAGCCTAGAATTTATTAGAACCAGCATAGAGTAGAAAAGCAGACAGCAAGCACTCAACTGAAATCCAGGGTCCCCTGCCACACTTCCCTCCCTTACTCTCCCAAATAACGGCTTCTTATTTTGACTCTGTGACAAAGTCAGTGGGAGAGCTCTTAGGAGTGGGGTGGGTGAATGCTCACCAGGAGTGTTCACCCAGGACAGCAAGTTGCAAGGCAGATCTACTTACCCACACTCCGATAGCAGCCCCCTAACTTGGGGATACCACAAATTGCAGAGCCCTGGTCTCCCACCCCACATTGTCCCAGCCCATCTGAAGTATGTATCCACATGTTCTTGCCCCACAGGTAGCAATCCTCTTATAGTTTATCTCAGAGTTCAGTCCCATAGATGGCCTTATGACGTAAGTACTCTTCTAAACACTGAAGAACATTGTCATCCACCTTTGGGTCGAACTTGTTGGCCAAGAGGTGATGGTTTTGAAGAATCCAATGCAGGTCTCCAGTCCCGTAAATACAGATAGACCGCTGGTGGATTCCAGAGCAAGGTGCATAAGGTGCCCCCATACTGATGTTTCCCTCATGGCCCTGCCACTTGACCAGCCTGGCAATGGCTGCCATATCTGAGACGTGAAACTTGGAGTGGTAGGGAATAGAGCCAGGCATCCAGGGTGCACGCTGAAGCGTGGCCCATAGATGCTCATCGGGGCTATAGGTGTCTTTTACCCATTCAATCAGTTGTCGGGACTTGGGGTTCTCTAAGACATGTCGGACAAAGTCTCGGGAAGCTACAATATAGGCATTCCCTGTGAACATAGGTATGTTATCAGGGGGAGGATCCTTCATCTTGTTGGTTACATACAATGTGTCTTTTGTCTCATAGTGATATTTCCAGCGAGTCTTTTTGTACTCAGTAGGTATTTCTGACTCCATACTGTTCTTCCCATTCAACATCTTGAGGGCCAGGACCATCTCGGCATTGGTCTTTATAGGAAAGTCTGTCCCACATGTATTTAGTAAGTATTTCCATGGCACTGGGCTCTGGAGCAAGTCTTCCATACAGTTCAGGTCAGCCTGCACCCTGGACCAGGAGGCATAAACCACCCGAACCAACTTACTGGCCATGAAGACATTTGGGAAGCATGAAATAATTGCTTTGACTGCCCCTTTGAAAGTTTCTGGGGATTTCTCATCCACGTGGATGCAGTATATGTTCTGAGGGGCATACACAGCTCGGAGCAATCTTTCAAAGTTTTCTATTTTCTCATGGACCACCATTGAGTAGGCAATAGGGAAGTCTGACTCTTCTTGGCTCAGAGGGAACCGTATGAACTTCCTTTCAGCCTTAAAGTGCTCACAGTCTCTGGTCATGTTAAGGTAGTCAGTGTCTGTGAAAGGCTTCCGCTTTTTCTTGATCTCCAGGTTGTCCAGCACAGCCTCAATCACTGCCTGCTGGTCCCCCTGGATGATCCGAGAACAGTTGATGGATCTCTTTGCTGGCAGTTTCAGGGACTTGTACAAGATGTCTCTACAGTGCCGGCTGTGAAAATCTCTGGACTTCAGATCCAGGGAATCAAAGTCACATTTCAATCTGAGACAAAGCCTCAGAGCAACAATGGCCAGCAGCATATAGCAGCCCAGGGCCCACAGGTAACGCTGCTGCCACTGTATCTTCTTCCACCAAATCATCCTCACGGAATGAGAAACCAGTAGAGTTTGGGCACAAGGACGGAGGAGGAGGATGGAATCCTTGGACAGAACAAAACGCCTTCAATTACACACTAACCCTGAATGTATTCACAGGAACATCAAAAGTGCAACTCCAAAGTGATGGCAAAAATACATTCCTTTACTAGACAAATAACCTCAGTAAAGACCGGCCTAGGAATCTCTTACACCTGGCCTGTTGGCGGGGGGCCTAGAGCCTGACTGGACTAACTGGCCATGTGTGCTGGGATCAGCCTGGCTCCACCTCCCCTCCAAGAGAAAAAGAAAGGGAAGCAGAACTGAGCACCTGTTGACGTTGAGGTTTAATTAGTAAGAGGAAATCTGCACCCGCCCTTCATTCCTCAGTCTTCCCCCACTCTTGACCACCCTGTTCCTAAATGGGGCTCTTATCTGGGGCCTAGAATTTCTAATCAGTGTAGAGAGACAATCCCTGAAATTCAGACTCTCAGTGTCTGTTCTAGAAATCCAAAGATTTCAATCCTTTTAAAAGTACACTTCTTGGTCTTGTTTGGCAATTTACATATTAGGATACTTTTACTACGTACAATTCATTGGTTAGATTTGGTATCTAGCCACCCCCTTTTTAAAAAATGTTCTTCAACAAGTACAAAAAAATTGGATATGATCCCACAAATGCATTGTAATCACTCATGTAGATAATTCAGTCTATCCAAATTTAAAATACATATACACACAGAGGCACACAAAGCTACGCATATACAATATTTAACGAGTGCTTTCTGTGGGCCACAAATATTTTTTTTACATTGCCCCAGGTCATCTTCACAACATACCTGAGCTGTAGTAGTATTAGGCCTCTTTTTTAAATAGGAAGATAAAAGCTAAATAACCTGCCAAATGTCACATATGCTTTAAGAAGCAAATATGGGACTCTTCCCCACTCGCCTTTCCCCCAGTTTTTTTGTTTGTTCATTTTGTTTTGTTATTGTCCACAAGCCTTAATGCTTCTTCCTCCAAACCACAACCATCTTTTAAATCATACAGTACAGGGGCGCCTGGGTGGCGCAGTCGGTTAAGCGTCCGACTTCAGCCAGGTCACGATCTCGCGGTCCGTGAGTTCGAGCCCCGCGTCGGGCTCTGGGCTGATGGCTCAGAGCCTGGAGCCTGTTTCCGATTCTGTGTCTCCCTCTCTCTCTGCCCCTTCCCCGTTCATGCTCTGTCTCTCTCTGTCCCAAAAATAAATAAACGTTGAAAAAAAAATTAAAAAAAATAAATAAATAAATAATACAGTACAGGGTACTGAGTACCATCGAAGAAAACCAGATGATCTACGGGGAAAAACTCTAAAAGGAGAGAAACAAAATGTGACAAACCCTCTCAACAATGACGGTTTTCCCTTGTTGTGTCCTCTTTGTAAGCATAAGATTGTGTCCTGCCTGGTCATAACTTTCATGGGAATCTAAGAGGAAGAAAAAATGAAACATGAAGAAAATTCTCACCTTTTTAATACCTTTGTCCTTGCTTAGGAAAGATCACTTGTCAAGATGTGTTTGTTTCCAAGGAAGATTGGTTGGAATCCATGGAAGCAAATGTGAACACCATATTCCCTTCTTTTAATGCCTCCACAAAATATTTTCTGATGTTCACAGGATGTCCAGGAACAGTCTCAGGCTCCTCCTCGGTCTCTGCAAAGTAGAGAGCAGGAGGTGGCTCTACCAGTCACCTTCCAGCTTCCTGCTCTCAGATGGGAGAGCTAGCTCACATATATCATTCAGGAGCATATTCTCAAACACTAGGCATTCAAGGAGGTGAACAAGGCAGGAAAAAAAAAATGCTGGCAATATCTGAGAAGGCAAGCAGGTATTTCAACCAGAATAGTCCAGTTTGTAACCATGCTCTCCTGCCACAAAACCATTCATAGAAACCTGTCAACGCTGGCACAAGAACTTGAAAGCTCCCCACCCACCCCCACCCCCTTTAGCAAGGAACCATAGAAACACCGGTAGGCCCCTGCCTTATTTTGGCCTGGAATCCAAATATCACTTCTCTTTCGTTCCGTGAACATTACAAGAGTAAAACAATAAAATACTTTTTTTTTCTTTAAAAATAGTTCTATAAAAAAAAAAAAAAAGTTTGTTCTTCAAATAGAAACTGCTCAAAAAAAAAAAAATCCTTTTGCCTGTCATCCCATTATAAATAATCTGTGAGTTGTAGAGACACCCACAGGGTTTCAGACTGTAGACCTCACTCACTCATGTCTGAGTCTAGCGTCTTGGCAGTCTAAGGAATGGAAACGCTATGGGTCGTTGGACTTCAGTGAGAGCCCCCCTGGCTGGTTTGGGTAATATAGCATGCAAACCACCTTCTTCGAAGCTGCTGGCATTGCCACGGTTTCTTTCCTGTACCCAACGTCCCCTTCCCTCCCCACACCCCCCACCCTACAAAAGCAGCATGCCTGGCCAAATACTTGAAAGAGCCAATTTAATATAAAGAACTTAACTAGATATAAAGTTGAGAACTGTAGGGGACAGAGAGGGGTGTCAGGCCACCCTAAATTAGGAAGTGGCAATTGCTGAAAGTAGCTACTACTCCTAGGCTGGAGGAATGAAGATTTGGGAATTTTTTTCATTTAAAATTTGGGAAGAAGGGTGCCAACAAGCTAAAACTCAGACCTCTGAGATGGGAAGAGCACCACCCGCTCAGTAGGCGCTGGGGTCTCTGACCTCAGAAGAGGCCCCCAGGCTGAGATCTCAACCTCTCCTGAGGCGGCTGAGGTATTTGTCCACCATTACCGTAACTGCGTTCAGTGCAGTTACATAAAGAGACTGCCCCTGCCCAGTAGTAAACAGGCGTTGACATGGTGATGCTCACAGAAGCAGGAAGTAGACCGGAAGCAAGCAGGAAATCCCGCCTCCGGCCTCATTGGCTCCCTCTGGCGCCCCCTGCCGGCTGAGCTTAATAGGAGGCAGAAGAGGCAAAGCAGAAATCCTAGCCAATGCCAAAAATGGGCTTCATCTGAAAACAACAACATCATAAGCAAGATCTGTCAGAGTTGCCTTCTTCCTCCAAGAAGTGTTTACAGAGCCCCCAGTACAGCCTAGGGAACTTAGGTCTTTTCTTTTGGGGGGACATCTTCTGCCTGTTTCTGACTATAGATGGAGACAGGCCAATAGCAAAAGAGCCGTATAGGGTCATCTGTGCTCCCATTTTTATGGCCCCACTCCACTGGCTCTGTCTTCTGTCAGCTTCCATAATTCAGAGTCTGTGTGGCTCTGTTTTGAGCTGTAACATTTCAGAGGCAAACATGATTAAACTCTTGTTCTGGTACCTACAAACATCTCTATTTCTTTTTGTTGTTGTTATTTTTTTTTTTTT